CAGGACTGGTAAGCCTGACTGCTTAGCCCTGCCTGCCCAGACCTGCTGCCCACCCAGCCAAGATGCGTGAACCCCTGTTCATCCCTGCTCGATTCTCCCTGCCCACATCCCTGGCGGCTGCCCCACTACACCTTCCCCATCCTCTGCTCCCCATCCTCCCCATGCTGGACACAGCAAACAATGCAGCAAAGGAGCCCCCCAACGCCCCTGGGGTGCTGAGAGGAAGGGTTGGATCCAGGACCGCGGGGCTCAAGGGTGCCTTGGACCCTGGCAGCACCCCTGCTCCTGCCAACAAAAGCACCGAGTTCTGGGGCAGCTTCTGCACCTATTTATTTAGAAGAGTGAGGTGTGATCCTGGCGCGGGGCAGCGGGTCCGGCAGAGCCTAGCCGAGGAGGACAAGAAGGGGCACCACAGAGGAGGGAGCAGAGCCTGGTTTCCACCAGGTCTGGAGGACGCATGGCCCTGGCGTTGGCCCCTTCAGCTGCAGGGAAGCAGGACAGACAGACAAGCCGTTAGAGCAGGGGAAAGCCAGCGTGATGCAGAGCCCCGAGGCAGGCCGGGGTGGCTTCCTGGGGGGCTGCGAGTCCCTGCTCAGCCCAGGCCATGCCAGGAGGGAGACCCGTCTTCCCCCACCCGTGCTCACCTGATGGCCTTGGTGCACTGATCTGTTGAAAAGCAAAGAGAGGGGTGAGCATGCCACGGGCAGTGCCTTGGGCCCCTGTGCAGCATCCCCATGCAGAGGGGCCATGCATGCCACCCTACGCCTTCCTGACACTCACCTGACTTGGGCAGGATGGCCAGCATGTCCTTGGTCAGGCCCACGGTGGGGATGAGCTCTTTGAACTTCTGCAGGAGCTGGGGGCTTGGGTCCTGCTCCCTCGCTGCAGCCAGACACCCAAAGCGGGGGCTGGTGGGTGCAGGGGGACCTGGCAGCAAGCCCCACACTGGGGGTCTGGCTCCCGCGGGGCAGTGATGGAGTCCCAGGGGAAGGCAAAGGCAAAGCCATGGAAGTCTAGGGTGGACACCGGGCACCCCACGGCTGCCCTGGGCTGGCAGCAAAGGGGCACAAGCCCCTTGGCATGGGCAACCCACCCACCTGGGGTGGTACGGGGCAGCTGGCGGGGCTGGGGTCTGCAGCCGGACTGGCACACTGCAGGGGGCTTTGGTTCAAACCGCAATCAACCTGGGATATTTTTGGTGCAAGGTTTCATTCACCCCAAAATGAATTCCCTGGGTGTGCCTCGGTGCCAGCATGTTGGGTGCCAACATGGTGGCCCATGGCAGCAGTGGGGAGCCCAGCCCCTGCCCCCACTGGTGCCCAAATCCCTCTCTGGGGAGCCATGGGTGCCCGTTCCTGCTCCCGACACCTACTGAGGAGCTGCAGCGCAGTGCTGGGCTTCTGCCCACTCTGATGGAGCTCGTGCACGATGGCGTAGTGGCTGTAGTCCGTCTCCATCACATGCAGATCCCTCTTCTCTTGTGCTGCTAAAGGACCCCAGATGGTGCCCAGTCGAGCAACGCGGCACAGCCCGCGCACCTCTACAGCCCCCTCCGGGGCTCACGGCTCAGGGACCAAGCCCCACTTTTGCCTGAGGGGGGTATGAGAAGGGAACCTCTATGCAACCCGGCGGAGCTGGGCACCCACCCGCAGCACGACCTCTCACCGAGCGATGGAGGCAGAGGGGCCAAACCCACCTCCCGCGGCTCCCCGGGCACGGGGGACCGATGATGCCCACCCTCCATTTCAGGGTGTCCGTGGCTCTGATCCCCCCTGCCCACACGTACCCATGTAGTGCCCTGCCTGCCCGCTTTGCTGGAAGAGCAGCTCAAACTTTTGGCATCCGTCCAGCCTGGAAAGGGAAAATGGAAACGGCAAATGTGGCTGAACGCCACGTGGGAGGGTAGCAGGGCGGCGGGGCAGGGAGGAGCCCTGCCTGCCCGGGGGACATGCCAGGGCACAGGCAAGACCGGACACCGCAGGGCAGTGGGTCTGTGGGAGTATGCTCCTCACCCAGCCGCCTCGGTGGGGAGGGGAGTCCCCCGGCCCAAGAGGGACGCAACGAGCAGGATGGGCACTCACAGGGGCCAGACAAGCTTCATAGCCAGGTCCCCCTCTGGCGTGAAGCTGATGGTGACGATAGACGACTTCATCCCATCCTTCGTCTTCAGGAACACAGAGCAGTTGGAAACGACAGCTGCAACATGCCACGTCCCTGCAGACTGCAGCAGGACATCACCAGTGGGGTTTGGGAAAGCCACGAGGACCTGCCAGGGGGACCTGCCAGCCCACGAGGGGACCTGCCACCCTCTGTGGGGACCAGCCAGCCTAACACGGGATCCTGCCACCTGCCTGCGTGCAGAACACCCTGCCCTGCCCCATGCCAGGAGGGTGGGCACAGCGTCTGGCCCATGTTCCCTGGGGAAGCGCCGCACGCTCTGGGGCACTACGGCCCTGGGTGTTTGTGTCCCTGCAGCGGGGCCACCGCTGGGTCTGGCCACAGCGGGCGGGAGCTGGCCAGGCCTAACCCAATTTTGCACAGGAACCCAACC